GGGAGCGACGGAGGCGACGAAAGTAAGGATGATGATGACGATGATAATGATCAGAACGATGATGTTGATGATGCTGATGGTGATGATGCGGATGATATTGGTGATGATGACGCCGACGGCTGCTGATGATGATGTTGATGATGATGCCGCCCCGGGCTCCTCCACCACCATGCCGCTGCCGGCAGCTGCAGCATGGGGGCCGGCGCTGCGGCGCCTGCCCAGGAGGAGGGCTACTCCGACAACAACAACATCAACAACAACAACTACTACTACTACGACTACTACGACTACTACGACTACTACGACTACTACTACTACTACTTTTACTACTGCTACTACTACTGCTACTACTACTACTACTACGACTACGACTACGACTACTGCTACTACTACTGCTACTACTACTACTACAACTACTACTACTACTACTACTACTACTAATACTACGACTACTACGACTACTACTACGACTACTACGACTACGACTACGACTACGACTACGCCTACTACTACTACTACGACTACTACTACTACTACTACTACTACTACTACTACTACTACTACTTCTACTACTCTAACTATTACTACTGCTACAACTACTACTAATACTACTACTACTAGTACTACTACTACTACTACTACTACGACTACTACTACTACTACTACTACTACCACTACTATTACTATTACGACTACCACGACTACGACAACAACATTGACTACTACTACGACTTCTACTATTACCACGACTACTATTACTACTACTACTACTACTACGACAATTGCTACTACTACTACTACTACTACTATTGTTACCCCCTGCTACCCGTATTGGTACTACTGCTACTACTATGTGTACTACTACTACTACTACTACTACTGCTACTACTACTGTTACTACTACTACCATTAAAACTACCACTACCGCTGCTAGTAATGCTATGGCTACTACTACTGCGACTACTACTGCCTACTGCTGCCGCTACTACTACTACTACTTCTACTACTACTACTCCTGCTACTACTACTACTACTACTACTACTACTACTACGACTACTACCACTAGTATTGTAATGTTGACTGCGAATGCGACGAGTTCAACTATTACCCTTAATACCGCTACTACGACCACTACTACTACTACTACTACTACTACTGCTACTACTACTACTACTACTGCTGCTACAACTACTACTACTATTACTACTACTACTACTACTACTGTCTACTACTACTACTACTATTACTACTACTACTACTACTACTACTACGCCTACTACTGCTATTCTGAGTGTTTCCACTACTATTGCCAGTGCTACTACTACTACTACTGCCACTACTACTTCTACTGCTACGACTACAACTACTACCAGTACGACGACGACTACTAGCACTATTGCTACTACTGCTATCAGTGCAACTGCGATTACTACTACGACGACTACTACGATTACTCCTACTGCTACAACAAAAAGTACTACGACTCATATCACGACTACTACTACGATGTCTACTACGACAACCCCTACTAGTACGACTACTAGTGCTAGTACTACAATGTCCTCTATTCATTACGACTGCTACTGTTACGACGGCGACTACCATTAGTTTGAACATGATCGTGAGAAATACGTCAAGTACCAGCCCCTAGTTGTCCTACCAGTCCATGTAAACCAGCAACAGCAATTTCTACTAGTACGGGTACTAACGCTACTACTACCAGTACTCCGACTACTGCTACTATTTCTACTACTGTGACTCCCGGTGCAAGAACTAACGTTACTACTACTAGTAGTATTGCTTATACAACTTCTAGTAACGCTGCTACTAGTGCTACCTCTACCACTGCTACTAATACCACTACTACTACTGCTACTACTACGACTACTACTACTACTACCACTACTACCACTACTACTACTACTACTACTACTACTACTACTACTACTACCACTAGCACTACTACTAGGACTACTACCATGTCAATGGCTACTGCGACTACTACTGCTATGACGACGACTACTAGTGCTACTTGTACAATTACAGCTACTACTACCTCAATTACTAGTACTACTACTACTAGTTCCACTACCTCTACTTGCTAGCTAACTGCAGCACCATGCAGGGACGAGGACACGGAGGAGGAGGAGAAGAGGAGGACACGACCAAGAAGGAATAGCAACCAAGGCACTCAGAAGGAAAATACCAAATGGGACAGATGAGGCGGGACGCATAGAGAGAGAACGGGAGATAAACGACGATAGCGGATGGAGACTGGCAGTAGAGAGATGGACACAACAAAAAAAGAGAGAAAAGAGAAAGGGATACAAAGATAGAGAAACAAAACAAAAATCAAGACGAGGTGGCGCCTCCGGCACCGCCGGCGGCGCCAGGCGCGGTGGCGGGCCGCCCCGCCCGCGGCCGAAGTGGCGGCGGGCGTCGGCGCTCCTCTTCCTCTTCCTCGTCCCCCACCTCCTCTTCCTCTTCCCCCTGCGGTCCACGACGCATGCCAGTCCCAAGCGAATCAGCAGGCCCCGGGCCTACCCCCGCCTCTCCCGCCACGGCCAACAACCCATAACATAAGAAACAATGCCAGCACAAGTCGTGACCAAACCGCAAGAAGAGCGCCGAGATAGAGAGAGATAGAGAGAAAACAAACAAAACCAAACACAGAGAGAACAACAACAAAGAGAGAGAGAGAGAGATAGAGACAGAGAGAGAAAGAAAACGAGAGAGAAAGAGAGCTGAAAAGAGTGATAATAAAGGATAATGTAATATATTATTTGCGAAATATTCGACAATTTATCGAGGGAGGGACGAAGGACTGGAAACATATAGGGGGCAAGCGAGAGGAAAGGCGGGGCAGGGGAAGCAGAGAAAGGGGGAAAGGGGAAAAAAGGGGAAAGGGGAGAAAGAGGCAAACATAACATTGCAAAACAAACGCGACGTCGCTGAACCGCGGCAGGTGGTCAAGCACATCACGCGCAGAAACCATTGAATTTCGCAAAGAAAAACTGCAATCAGTGCCAGCAGCGCTGCGCGTATGCTGAAAAAGGAGCGTGCGTTCCGCGCGGACATCGCAATTACGGCAAAAAGCGAACATGTAACAGCGCTGTTCATCGTTTGGTCTTCACCACAACACTGGCGGGCTTGAAATTTACAAAAATAAGGTATGGGAAAATACATGCTAAAAAAACAATTCTGGAATTAAAAGAATTGCCGGACAGGCTTCCCTACAACCAACCGAGCGGGAGCAACCAGGACAATACGCTCGACAAGCGCTAACCACGGGTGGCTGGCCCCGAAGCCACCGAGAGAATGCCCCACGATCTCGCCAGGTGGCTCCGGCGCTGCCGATCCTGACGCTCGAGGGCCCGAGCCTGCTCCATAAACTCCTGACGAGCGGCCCCGTGCCGCACGAGCTCGAGCACCGCGAGACACGCCACGGTCGTCGAAACACGCGGTTTGACTCGCCCGGGAACCCCGAGCGGGACCCATGAGCTGATGGGCCACTTTTCCACCACCACGTCCTCCTGCTCTCCTCCTTCTCCTCCTCCGTCTCCTACCTGTGGTGGTGGTGGTGGAAAATTGGCGTATCATGAGCCTGTCCAATCAGCGCCACTGGAAGGGGGGGGGGACCGAAGGGCCGCCCGCGGGCTGTCTATGTCCCCGTGCCCCCCGCTCTCCTGCGCCCCGCCCTACCCTGTCCGCTCCCGACCGCCGATGCATGGAATGTGAACGCCCCCCCAGCGCCGTTCTCCTCCCCCTCCTTTTCCTCCTCATTTGCCTCCTCCTCTTTCCCCTCCCGTTCCTCCTCATTTGCCTCCTCCTCCCTCCTCGTCCTCCTCCTCCACTCCTTTTCCATACAGATAACTTCTCCCTGTCGCACCCCGAGGCCAGCTTTTAGGGCGGGTTGGGCGTTTCGCCTGAGACTTCCTCACCGTTTATGATTATGAAGCTTAAGAAGTGGCACGAGTTTCGCAGATGGAGGACAGGCCGTTTCCAACATGTGGCTCTCGCCTGAGCGCGGCGCAAATTTTTTTTCAACATTTGCAAGAGTTTCACGGATTGACGGCGCGTCGTTTTCAAAATGTGGCTCTCGCCTCAGCGCGTCGCACATTCGTATAAAAAGATTTGCAAGAGTGTCACGGATTCCTATCATCAACGTGCCAGAGATGGTGTTTTGGAAGGATTCAGGATTACGCGGGTGCAACTGTTACCTTGATTCTCTGTGTTGAAGTCCTAGGAATGGCGTTCTGGCGCGATTCAGGGTCGCCAAAACGCAACAGTCAGGTTGATCCATGGCGTTGGAATCCCGAGAACAATGTTTTGGCATGCTTCAGGGTCTTCAAACAAGTGTCTTCCAACGAGGCAATTCATTCAATGGAAATGAACCGTTGTAGGGCCCTATGAAGGAGCTTGGAGGGAGGGTTTATTCCAACATCGTTGATGACTCTTGGGTTTACACTGGTCCTCCTCCTCTTCCTCCTCCCCCTCCTCTCCCTGATACTCCTCCTCCTCCCCTTCCTCCTCCTCCTCCTCCTCCTCCTCCTCCTCCTCCTCCTCCTCCTCCGCCTTCTAAAACCACCTCCATCCCAGAGACACGACGCTGAGAGCAAACCTGCAGCATCGCGAAAAATCACGACCACAACCCTGCACACCATCCTGGCTGTTCGCTGCGAGCCGGATCGATGTGTGATGGCCCCGGGGCCCGAAACTGTGTGAAACAGAACGCCCAATCCTGAGGGACCTCCCTCCCTCCTCCCCCCTCTTGCCCTCTCTTTCGAAGAACGGACCGGTTCCATCATAATTTGGCCCCAGGAATGATGTTCCGTCGAAACTACGAGAGAAAAGGATCGTGCTCCGCAAATTTGCAGACAGTCTATTTATTTTCCGCGGAAGCGACGAACACAACATTTTGAGATGAATCAGATATAGAATCGATCCGGCCCTACTCGATGCTTGCCTCGCCCGCCCCCTGCCAGACGGCCCCCTCCCCGCCGCGACCGGAGCCGAGCTGGAGCTGCTCGAGGAGCTCGGGTAGCCCCCCGACCTCCGCGGGAGGCGCCAGGGACCGCTGGGAACACCCAGCGGCAAGCAACGGCGGACGCGGGCCAGGAGAGACAAAAAGAAAGGGAGAGAGAGAGAGATATAGACAAACAACAGAAACGGAGAGAGGAAACACTCAACACGTATATGTGGTAACGAGGAAGTAGGGGAGCTGTGGCTGCTTTTCCACGGGCACTGGACAAATCATACGACAAACATGCACTTTCTCACAGGAGCATGCCGGTGCACACGTGCCGCACTAACGCAGGCGAATGGCGCAAGGACGGAGGCGGGACCCCGCCATCGAGAGGGACCGAACGAGGTGCGAAAAGGGAGGCCGACGACGGCCTGGAGGACCGAACGAGAGGCGAGGAGAATGCCGAACCGAGGGAACGGGCCATCACATGCAACAACAACTACTCACCGTGTCCGCCGTCTACACCACTGGTTCGTTCCACTCGTTTGCCAGGTGCGCATGGCTGCGGGGACCGAAGTTCGATGGCCTCAGGCGCAGTGCGTGCACACGTCTACACCTAAACCAGCACACACTGTCCCCCGAGGGGAGGAAGAAGATATCTTCGCGTTCTCTGATGATCAAAGCTGCGAAGCTCCACCGATCATCCTGGACGTCCAACTCTGGAGGCGTCAACTCTCCAATGCGTCGATCCACGCTGGTCTCTCCACAAGCATCCCGCTGGAACCGACCCCTGAATCACTGCCGCCCTGGCGGCCCTGAAGCAGTCGAGGACGCGCGCTCATTGTTCAAGTCCTCCGAGGCAAGCGCGAGCTGGATCTGGCCCTGGCCATGGCAGCGCTAAAATCTGCACATCACGTAATTCGGCACCTCCGTGAACCCCGCTTGGATCCATTTCAGCTGCAGCCGCTGCCTTGCCCGCCTCCCTCGTCGCGAGGCTCTCGATCACCGTCGCTGCCTTCGCCGCCGCCGCGGCAGATCCCTCGGCCTTCATGGGGCTCCCCTTTTCATCTGTCCCACCTTGGAGCGTTGCCCGGCGGCGTGCTTCGCGACATCCTTCGACTCCAATTGCATGGCCTCGGCCACCGCGCTTTCCTCCTGCTGCGCGATCGCGCTCGCAGTGGCTCCCCCCGTCGCTCTCGACCTCTGCTCAAGCAGGGCCGCCTGTGTCGCCGGGAGAAACATCAACTCCTTCAGGCCGCCGCCCTTCGCCGTCAACCTCCGCCCTTTGGCCCCAGCGCGGCGTCGACCCCCGTGGCGGGTGCGAGGCATTGCCTTTGGGCCCACCGACCCCGCGCTTCCGCGCTGTATCCTCGCGCGCCCCGCTCCCTTCACCTGCGCGCGGCCATCTTGCCGCTCGCCACCGACTTGGGAGTTGGCCCCGCCGCTGGCCGACGCTTGGGGGGGGCCTGTCCTGCCTGGGCGCCATCGCCCCTGCTTGTCGACCTCCATCGACGGGCGCCACTCGGGTCGGGCGAAAGGGGGGGATAGCAAAGGGGGGGGTTGAGAATCAGCTCGCGGAGCTGATTTTCCCGGCGCCTCCCGGCGCAGGAGGCGGCCATGTATCGAGGAATGGGCCCCTCGGTGAGGCCGAAACCAGCTGCATGCAGCAAATTTCGTAAACCCCCCCTTTCCCAATCCCCCCCTTTGGCCCGGCCCGAGCCACGGGACCCCCTCGCAGCGCCCGGTCGGAGCCGGGAACCACCAGACTGGCGGGAGTGCGCACATCACTCCCCCCCGGCCCGCCCGCGGCAACCGGCATGGGAGCGGGCCCGAGTCCGAGCCCGAGACGGCGCGGTCCGTGCCCGCCGCTGCGCGACGGCCGACGTGGGCCTGCCCCCCTGCGTCGAGGGGGCAGGTGCGAGCGCAAGTGGGTGCGGAGGGCCCTGCAGGTTGAGGAGGTGGCGCGGCTCAGCATGCGGTCGCGCTCGGGCATCTGTCTGGTCGCACGTGCACGGGCACGCCGCGATGTGATTCGGACGCACACCGGCGTGCCATGACCCTGCTCGGCGCTTCAGAACTGCGCCCCTCGTCTGGCGCGCCCGGCTGCAACTGGCGCGCGCAGCGCTTGGCGTGAGTTTGTTCAAGTGCGCTGCCCCGCGCCTTCTGGCTGGCGCGACTGGCGCAACCGCTGCGCGCGCGAAAGCATTGCCCACAGATCGGTCCACCTGGGTCGGGTCTGATACAACGCGCGACGACTTCGGCAGGATCTGCTTCCATGTCATTCTACCAGTCTGAATGGCAGGCGCAGTCAATGCCGGGCAAGGCGGCTGCGCCCATATATATATATATATATATATATATACACATATATATAAACAAAAAAACACGCAGCGCAAACGCCTCTGGGCGACGGCAGTGACGGCGGTCGGCCCCCTCGCCCCTCAGAAGGTGTGGAATCGCGCCGTTTTCCCGCGCCTCCACGAATGACTACGCCTCGACGCAGCCGCGCACCAAGTCGATGTCGCCGCGAAACTGTCTCGTCCGAAGATGGACGACCGAATCCGCATTCACGATGCCGTCGCGCCACAGCGTCGGCAGGCGACAATGCCCCCCCGCCCCCCCCAAACGCACACGCGCACGCGCGCGCGTGCTGCATGTCCCCCACGCGCATCGGCGTCTAGGATGAGCGACGAAGTCAAACGAGCCGGCACGTAAGAAATGACAAAACATCAGCGATGGACCCCCCGAACAAATCCCGTCGCAGAGGGGCGTGACCCTCTAGCCCGCGCAGCGCGCGCGCCAGGCTCGGATCATCAGTAAGGGGCAAGGGGGGCCGTGGCGGAGGCGAGGTGGAGAGAAACGCCGACGCACTAAAACGCGCGGGCAGAAAGGCGCGGCAAGGCAAACAGTTGGGCCCCAGGCGTCGGCGCCACTCGGGGGCTAGCGCGCGCGAGTCATCAAGCAAAACTCGCGCAGGAAAGAGGGGCGCGCGACGAGGGGATCATCGTCGCATTATTCGCCCCCGAACAGGGCGCGATCATCCTCCCCGCGCTCGCTCGCGCAAAACCGGGCACGTGACGACTGGGCCAAGCCCCGGCGCAAGATGGACCTCTCGCGCCGCGCGCCGCGGCCGCCGACGCATCGAGGAGCCACAGAGGCGGGCGGCGCCTCCGACTCGCTCGCCCCGAGCGACGCTCAGGCGAGAAGCAAAACTCGTCTCGATAGGAACCGGCCTTTTCTGCAGAGTACCTTGAAACGATCAACGGACGGCAATCTGCTCACTGGCGGAACCCCTCCCCGAGGGGCCTCGGGGGGGGATTGAAGAGCGTTTCCAAGGCCGAGCGACGCAACTGCGACGCTGCTAGATCTGCGGCGCGCCGCCCTGGCAGGCCGCCCGAAGGAGGAGGCCTCTAGCCGAGTCCTAGAAATGCGGCCGCCTCGCGGCCTGCAGCTTCGCCATTAAAGTCTGAGTCGCAACGAAGCGCGGCCTGCGCGGGGCTCGGCGCGCGCGCGGGCGGGCGTCGAGCGCGCTTCTCCTGCGCGCAATCATTGGCGCTGCCGGCGGCGGCTGGCGCGCGACGCGGCGAGGCCGAGGTGGGGGGGGGTAGCGCGCGCGAAACAGACGGGTCTAGAATAGCGACTCGGCTCAGCAGGCGTCGCGGCGCGGGCAACTTGCACGGGGCGTCGAGCCGCGCGCTGAGCTCGTCCTCGAGCCAGCCAGGGGGCGCCGCCCCCGCGCGGGCCACGGCCGCCCCCTCGGCGCGCAGGGCGCGAAGGATCAGGTCCATCTGCGGGAAGGTCTTCATCGCAATCAGGATATTCACGTTGTTCTCGTTGCGGCACTTCTCCAGGCGCACCGTCTGGACGTGGCTTTCCAAGTCGAGCTTGCTGATGCTGGGCTGCTCCGCTTCGTCCTCGTCGCCGTCGACCGCCTAGAGCCGCTGGTTCAGCTCGCCCTCGATTGCTCCGCCCACGTCGCACCTTTCGAGCGCCTCCACCAACGCCGCCAGCAGGGAGGCTGCGGGGGACCCGAGTGTCTTGAGGCCCTCTTTGTCGTCCTGCCGTAAGCGCTCGAGCTCGTTGCGGAACACCTCCAGAGTGTCGCCGATGGCCGACGCGGCCTTGTGCTTCATGGGAAACGCCGCTGCGTCGACCGCGCGCGCCAGTGCGAGCTGGTCGCGGTTCGTCCTCTGGAGCAGCAATTTGTCCAGCGCGCAAGTGCTTGTCCTTCGAGGTCCACGACTTCTCGCCGGGCTGCCCTCGTCGGCGGCGGCGCCCGCCGCGCTCGCGACACAGCGGGCGCTGGCCCGCGCTGTCCCCCTAGCCATCCGGGCCGTCAGCAGGGGCCCCGGGAGCGGCTGCGCCCGTCGTCTTCGCCTGCTTCGCGGCGTCGGCGGGCGCGGCTGCGCTGCCGCCGTGGCCTGGCGCTTTCGAGGGCGCCGGCGCTCTGCGGGAAGCGCCGCGAGGCCCTCTGCGGGCGGACCGCTGCCGCCGTCGTCGCCGCCGGGCGCTTGCGCGGGCCAAGTCGGGGCGGCCGCGACGCCCTGGCCCCGCAAGAGGGGCGGGAGCTCGACAGGCGGTGGCGGCGGCGGCGGGCGCCGCGCGAGGCTGACGGGCCCGAGCGCGCGGTTTAACAGCAGGCGCTGGCGGTGGAGGTACCCCGCGACGAAGTAGGCGCAGAGACGCCGCTTAGCAGGCGCGGCGGGCCTCCGAAGCATCGGAAGCCTCGGGTGGCATTCCGGGCCGCTGCGCGGCCGCGGCGGGGCGGGCGGGCGCGGCGCCGCGAGCCCGAGGGGTCGGGGCGGCCGCGCAGTCCCACCAACGCCATGAGCCAACGGGCGACGGGGGGACGCGCGTCGTCAGTTGGCGTCTCAGGCCCTCGATTCCACAGAACTCACGTTTGCGCTGACTGTTGGAAGACGTGTACGAGCACGGGCGCGTGCGAGCACATGTCGGGGTCCACTCATATACATGCTGGGGTTAATGCGGAATGCATCGGCCCTGTAACCGCGATCGGCAACAACGATGAAAAACGGCGCGATCTATGTTCGAGAGAGAAGGTGGTATCGCACATCAGACGCATACTG